CACGTGAAAAAAAAAACCTTAAGAGCGTATTTTTTAAATTTTTTAGATTAAATATTTTAAAATACTTTAATATTTAGTATATTAAAGTATATAGATTGTGTAGACAAGATGATATTTTCATTACGCACATGCATTCACATGCGCACGCGTGCAATGCTAAAATTTGAATGAACTTGGTACCCTTCTGGGTAAACGTTGTTAAAGTCTCAAATGCATAAAGTTTGTCTTATTTAATGAAGCTTACAGGGAATATGGCACCAAAAGGGAGATGGGGAGCGTTTGGGGAACATCTGTAACGGTCCCCGTTACAATTAGCACTAGTTATAAATGTGAGAAATATATTTACAAGAAAAACTGTGATATGGAGAAATCTAATAGAAAATGGAACTTTGCATCAATGCACAATTGTATTTTTTAAACTGAACCTTCAGCTGTTTCAACTACTTAATTATACAACCAATGATTTTTTTGACTAGCATTGGGCCAACATAATGATACTGATAGGGTATACTTCGTTTTTATATGCGTTTCCGTTACGTAAGAAATAAATAATTCTATTAAATTCTATACATTACAGCTTTTACTTGATTAATCATTCAAGGATTGAAATGTACTCAAGTATTTTAATTTTGCCAACATATAAATAACCGTTTAAGTGGAAATTTTAGCGATACGCAAATTTGGCGATTTGCCTTCAATAATTGGTAATTTTAGCAAGATGTAATTTTAGTGATTTTAAAAAGCTCACTTAAGAAGCTATTAATTAATAACTTATCTTAAACAAAGTACATTTTAGTGATCATAAAGTAGTGAAAATGCATATAGATCCTACTGTGTATTCTAACGCGCGGTGACAAGGTTTCGCATGTGTTATTGAGATTTGAACGTCATGGATTTCTAATGAATTTCATAAAGAAAATGAAACTGAATGTACATTTCAGTTGCTATCGGATTTATATTGGTGATGCTATTTGTTGTCAGCGTAACAACTAGTATTCTTGGAATAAGATGGTTTCCCTTCTGTTTTTATTTAAAGTTTTTCATTTAAGATGAGATTAAGATTAACTCTTAGAGTTTTACTCTAATTTTTCAGCGCGTTGTCTTTAGAATACACTTTTTAGGATGAAAATTTACCTTATAAATAGGAGGTTATATATAAATTCAGATGCAATGTATCTTAGCAAAAGGTCACGACATGATAGGCAAACCATGCAAAAACTGATGTTTAAGTAGAAAATTTGTTTAGAAGAAAACGCAAAACTGATATAAAAACTGTTTTAGCTATTTTTGGTACACAAAATATTCATTAAATTTGGGAGGGTGTGTGCCCGTGCTTATGATAAATTGACTGCATGTTTCTTTCTATTCGAGAATTTCTTACTCATAGAGACATCCCATGCTTTAAGTGACTTGCCACTAATTTTTGACATATAAATGTCAAATACGATCATAGAAGTGATGCTTCATTTTTATGTCAACGCCTACCTTTCAAACGGGACTTTTTAACAGTATCGTCCAAAGGTCTGATTACTTTCACTTTTAATGTCAACGTCATGCACGTTTCAAAAACTGTTTCTACCCATATTAATTATTAAAGTTTTGACATGGAACCGGAAGCAAGATTTCAGCCCTGACCCCCCCCCCCCCCCCCCACACACACACACAAAGCAAGCGCCTAACCACTAGCTTACGGTGACAGGTTCCTGTGCGTCAAAAGCTATCAAGCTATACTATCCATATGCCCTTATAGTACTATCTGACACAACAGGAAAATACTTTACACCCATTGAAAATGCATAGGTTCGATCAAAGGTCATATATATATATAACAACTTTCATTATCTTGTGAAAAATATGCATAGAAAATAAACAAAATAAGTTGATCGTATTTATTCTACATTATTGAAATGTTTTCTCTCATTACAAGGATATCTACAGGAAATACCGTATAAGTAGAAAATTTAGCGAGGATTTAATTTTGGCATTATTAGCGAGTCTGTTGAGATCGCTAAAATTGAATATCGCTAAAAATAAATTGCGTGTTATTTGTACTAGTTTCTATAGTGAGCATTTTAAAATCGCTAAAATTACTTCTCGCTAAAAATAAACACCAGTTTTTAAGAAGAAATCGCTAAATTTGCGTCTCGCTAAAATTTCCACTTGTACGGTAGCAATTTATTAACTATATTTATTTCTTCTCTCAAAATAACAATATTGAATTTTATATTTTTAATTTGTTTCAAATAGCTTTAGATAACATAGTTACTATAGGAGGAAAAAATTCATCTATTTTTCATTGTTTGTCATTATTTCAATAACCAGTATGGAGGGGATACACACGTCCATGATATCGGACGTGATAACGATTTTACGTTATAGCAAAATAGACGTTAATTTGTAGTCAAGCAAACTTACAATATATTCTTTTCATATAAATAAATTCATAAAAGCATAAGTATAAAGAGGCATAATGTTGCTTCCATTTTTCAGAAAAACTTTATGAGAAAAAAGAAAAAAAGAAATAATGCTTCTCACAAATATCCAAAAAGGCAGAGGATTGGCCATACGAAATCAATTTGGCATATCCAGATGGTCTGTATCAAGATCCTGATTATGAAACCATTGACGATCAAGAAGAAGGCTGTGAACGTTTGCCTGGACAGACAGAAGAGATGAGAAGCCAGAATCTTGATCAAGAATACACCGCTCCCAACAATGCTGATGGAACTTATTTGGAAGTAGTCCATCCAAAAATATATTCACATGATTACATCAATGTTAACCCTTATCTTGAGTAAGTGGATACAACCGTAGAATGTCAAACTGTATTAGACCCCAAAGATATTCCCAAGCAAGATCATAGCTGTATACAGTGTATGAGCAATGACATTGAATCGTATTTAAGACAATATAAGAATGTACCTTTCTAACATTTATTTTGTATACATACTGAACTTTATAAAAAAACGAACACTGTATATTGTATGCGAACATAGTAAAATAGAAACATAGCAAAGCTGTAAAAAAAAAATACTTGAGCAACATTGTTGAATGTCTAAATGCATGCTATTAACATTAATTTGGAAACTGGTACATGTAGGTCTATAAATAACATATCTTGTCTTGTTCAGTGATGTTGATTTAAAAAAATAATCATCAGGCTGAAATCATACATATATATATATATATATATATATATATATATATATATATATATATATATATATATATATATATATATATATATATATATATATATATATAAAAGAAAAAACGACAACACAGATTGTAAAACGTTAGCGCTTCCATTCAAATTCTTCAGACGTTTTACTTTGAACATTTGACGTTAAAATGTTATGTTAATGTAACGTTTTAACGTCAACTGTTCAAAGTAAAACGTCTGAAGAATTTGAATGGAAGCGCTAACATTTTACAATCTGTGTTGTCGTTTTTTTTTTTTATATATATATATATATATATATATATATATATATATATATATATATATATATATATATATATATATATATATATATATATATATATATAGATATATATATATATATATATATATATATATATATATATATATATATATATATATATATATAAATTGATTGAAATTGGTTCAGTGGTTCCAGAGAAGAAGTTTAATATGTGCAAATGTAACTTGCAACGAACGACGCAAGATGACGGACAAAAACAGATAGATGTAGCAATAGATTCCTAAATGATTTATGTGACCAAAAAATTAAAATTCCATCAACAAATACTTTTTCGCAAACCACAAATATATGACCTCGTGAATATAATTGATTTAACAGTATATACTTCGAATACATTGGGACGCTTAATAAGGTAAAATACACGTACTTAATATACAAGACATTCTTACGTCACATGAATACGCAGATCAAGAGGGGGTCCGGGGGGTCAAGACCCCTCCACCTGGAATATGCAAGGTTATCAAATCTATATACTAAAGCAAGAAAAAAGTTACTTTGGACCCCCTCGGAAAAAGCAGACCCCTCCTGGTAAACACGAATTTGTGTTAAATTTGTATGGAAAGTCAAAGGTTTGAGGCATTAGAAGTCATCAACCCCCCCCCTCCCTCTTCCCCCCACAAATTAGGATTTTGAAGTATAGGCGAGTTTAGGTTGTTTCTTTTTTAAATTTCTGGGTTGTTTTTTTTTAACTGAGTTGGAACTCCAATCCCTCCTCCCCGCCCCTTAAAAAAATCTGGATCCACGCCTGCCATGTATCATTTCAGATTACTCTTTAACATTTAAATTTATTTATTGTTTACATGCTGAAGTGCACTACAAAACCCTTTGATATTTCCTTATCAGACTCCCTAAGGCTTGCCATAGTCCTTTTTCTTAATTTTAAATTATGGTTAATACACATCTGGGATTTGCATTTTGCTTTTTATCTATCATCGATTGTGCTCATGGAATTTGATCGTGTCACTTTTATGATACCTTGCGCCATCACAGTCATCTGATGATGATTAATTGTTTAAATGCACATAATTGCTGACTTAAATAATTAATAAATTTGATACATGCATAATCATTAAAAGATAAGCATAATCCTGGTTATTGTCTAATAATGCAATTGAAATTTTGCTTCTGTTCCTTTTCCTAAATCCGACTTAAACATGAAGTAAATAAATCTTATTTGAAGAAATGGTTTAGTAAATACATTACATAATGAAAGATATGGAGATAACAAACAGTATTCAATATCAAAAGTCTAAGACAGGAGCAGAGCAAACACAGTCCTCAAAACATCAGAGGTAGGATCAGGTGTATGACGGGTTTCTTGTGGTTACTTTATATCGGTACTGTTACGCATTTCAAACTCACTTTCTTACATTGATTATTATCCTTCACCACACTAAACATGTATCACTACATCTCTGCTCTTTGTGGAGTCTGAAAAAAGGAACTTTTTCTTTGAAATCCAAAATAATTTTTTAAAAATCTTTATAAAATGAGTTCAGGTTTAGTTAATTATTATGCTTTTTATTTTTAATTTTTTGCATAGGTATTTCTAAACTCATAGAAATTAATCTACATGTACTATGAAGATCCTTCTCTCTCTCTCTTCTCTCCTGAAACACGAAAACGGTTATAACCGTTATAGAATTCCATACCTGATTTTGTCTGTTCCTTTCTCTTATGAGAGCTGACAAAGTGTACAGAATTGGATTCAGAGCAGAATTTATCGGTAAAACAAGAACTATTATCCAAATGTAGACTTCCTGAGAAACATCTACTCCTGAGAATGTCATCATAGCTGAATAATGAATTTACACGTTACTATTATCTATTTGAATGTTCTCTTCCCCAACTTGCAATAAAAAATATATCTATGGAATATCTATATCACTAGTTTTAAGGTCATGTAAAAGCCCGAAAACATAATTTTAAAACAGAAGAATAGATAAGATAGGGAAAAAACAAATTATTTAACATACCAATTATTCCGATTGGAATCCAGCATAAGAGGTCTGTCAGAACAACAGCACCAACTGACTTCGCTAGTGATATTTCTCGTCGTTTGGTGTTTGTGGACTGTATTTTCCTTCCAGATTTTATAACCTCAACAAGTATAAAAATCTGCCCAACAAGTATGCCAAGAAAAAGAATGAAGTTGAATCCAATGAAAACAACCATTGAATATTCCCAACCTGACTGTCTTTTGACGGACAAAGGAAGATATATACAAATGGCAGTTTGGGCATAGAAGTCTTCAAGTGGAATAAATAAAGGACACAATGCTAAAACCAAAGAAACTATCCATGCTAAGGCCGACAATAAAATGGCTCTTCTAGCTACAAGATGGGGGTTTGAAAATGGACGTGTTATAGCTAAAATCCTATCAAAAGTTATTAATGATACAAATAAAGCCGACGCCTCGCTGGAAACCGTAGCCAAAACCCCTGCAAAAATGCATAGTTTGCTATGACGCCAATGAAAGTCTTCAAACCCATACTTTCCGCTATAGACCATATTAACAAAAGCTATTATATACAAATAGATTCCCATAAATAAATCAGCAAAACTGAGATTGCAGGTTAATATAAAATATGAAGAGGACTTGCTTCTGGAAGAAAAAACATTATATATAATTGTAAAAATATTCCCAAAAGTTGCAAATAATGCAACATACCATATGCAGATGTTAAGGGAAAAAACACTTATTAGTTGTTCACAAGAAGAAAGTTCATTCATCGGCGCAATACACTGTACTTCATAAATGCTGCGAGGTTTCGCACAACAGATTGAAAAGAAGTCAACATGCAAAACTTTCAAGCTAAAAAGCCCAGAAAACATTCCCTCTGCACTTATGATCTTATTATTTTGAATCTGCAGGGAAAGTAACTCTCGTAAATCAAGAAAAAGGCCTGCATATAAATAAAAAATATTGTTATTTGACAAATTCAAATCCCGTAAATTTCTTAAATCTTTAAAAAGATCTTTTTGTAAAGTTGAAATTTTGTTATTTTGAAGATATAAGTTCTGTAGCATTTCTAGATTTATGAACAAATTTGCTGGTAAGATAAAAATATTGTTGTGAGATAAATTGAGTGTATTTAATTTTGTCAGGTTAAAAAATGTTCCGTTGTGAATGAAGTCTATTTTGTTGCAATTTAATAAGAGAAAATGAAGATTTTTTAAGTCTTTAAGATCATTTTGTCGAATTAAATCGATTGAATTATTAGAAAGATGAGATAATATAGGTTTGGAAACCATTTAAATGCATATTTGTCAATGTATTTGATGTAATTACTTCTTAAGTTAAGATACCTTAGAGCAACACGACGATGGAGTCTGAAATCACCCTGATGGATACTTGTTATTTGATTGTATGATAAATCTATTAATTCATAAGTACCACTAACATCTAGAATATTTACTATGCTGTTGTTTTTTAAGTATAAATATTTAGAATACATTTCAGGAAACTTCCTTATCTGATTATTCTCGAAATCAGTAAACAAAAGCTCTGATTTCAATCCTATTATTCGGAATTGTCGTACAGGGAAATTTATACTTCTGTTATAGTACTCGAAAAGAAAGAAGAGAACTGCTTCTTTTGCAAATGCTTTTGAATATATACCACGATGCATACCTTTGAAAAAAAGAGACATGGATACATTTTCTACATTTGAAGTGTTAAAGCTTAACTTTGGTATTGGATATTCCTCAGCTCTAAGACTATATTCTTTATAGTAGCCTACGTGGCAATTTACTAAAAATATGGATTTTAACATAGAAAAAGGTTTAAATCTATAGAAAATATGCAAATTGTTTATGATACTTTCATTAACATAAAGATAATTCAATTTTGTTGGAATTGTTTCTCTTACAACAAGACTTTGTATCCTTGATCCTATAATCATTAACGATTGAATGTAATGAAAAATAACCTCATTAAGTTCGATATAGTCACAAGACAAACTTCGCCATTCGATAATATAACGTTTGTTATTGACAGATAGCATGACTATGTTGGGCCAACATTTGTTAAAGGTTGTATGGTTGGCGTTGGGGGAACAACGTTGGGCCAACGTTGGACCAATGTTACCAAGTCAACCTTCTCGACCATGACTGAATTCCTATGTTGGCCCATTGTTGGTCCAACGTAAGCAACTTCCATTCACTTTAGTTTCCAAAGAAGGGAGGATCATGGCGTTGGCCCAGCGTTGGACCAATGTTTATAATACACCCTTAAAGAAAGTGTATTTACAAGTTGGCAGTAGTATGTTGGCCCAACGTTGGCCCATTGTTTGTAATACATCCTTAAAGAACGTGTCCTATCAAGTTGGTAGTAGTATGTTGGCCCAACGTTGGCCCAATGTTTGTAATACACACAAGTGTTATTTTGTTTAGGTCTTCAAAGATGGGATATTTATATTGGGCCAACGTTGGCCCAATTATTATACTGCCAACTAATTGATGGTGTCAATTTTATAATTAGCTGCTGAGCTTTACGTTGGGACAACGTTGGTACATTCTGAAATAATTAAGAGGACTTTCTATGTCCATGCTTATCATTGGATGACTGCTTTTGTTTAGATATGATATTTTCAACATTTTAACTTTGCACTTAAGTGATCAAGCACCAAAGAGTGTTTTATTCTATTTTTTGAATTGTGTATATGCTTATTTATTTGTAATAACCCAGATAGCAGAACACCGTTGGCCAAATCTTACATTATGGTTCTATTATCTATGTTGGGTTACCTTGATTGGGCCAACAATGGCCCAACATGGAATATTGATAGCTGGTTATGTATAATAGTGCGCTAATGTTGGGCTTACTGTTGGCATTATATCATAAAACTATTATCATGAGAGAAAATATTTGTTTGGGGATTGGCATCGGCCCTACGTTGGCCCAATATACCATGAATCAGACTGAGCATCATGGGTAGACAACAACCGGGCTACTTGTAATATCCGCGCCATTTTTAATCTGACACGAGCGTAATGAGACTGATACCTTGCATATCTGCACTCACTTTGTAAGTATTAATAATATGTTTGCCTCGGCACAGCTGAATTAACGTTTAGTTTTTAAACGATATCATGTACAAAATCTGTGTAAATAACTTTTTAAAGAAGAACAAAATCACAGGAAGAAATAATATTAAACCCCATTTCAGGGCCAGGTGCTGTTGGGTCAATTTTCACTTTCTGTACACTTTTAATCTTTTTTTGCATGTAAATTGGGCCACTTTTAAGTTTGTGACTACGCCTCTGAACTGTGTAAATCAGACACGGGGAAGTGCAGAGGCCAGGTGCTGTTGGGTCAACACTGTACAGATAGCATGCAAACATTGGGCCAACGTTGGGCCAATGTAATCGGTTACATCGGGCCAATGTTGGCAAATGGCATTGACCCAATTTAAGTTTGCTCATCGACCCAATGTTGGCCCGATATGTTGGGCCAACGTTAGCCCAATGTAGAGTGTTATTTCTACAGATATTGGCCCAACGTCGCGCCAACATTGGCCCAATGAATGCGACATTGTTGGCGAAACGTCAACAAGAACATTAGGCCGATGTTGGCAAATGACGTTGGCCCAGTGTCATTTTGCTCCTTGGCCCAATGTTGGCCCGATATATTGGACCAACATTGGGCCAATGTGTATAAACATTTAATTGTTACAAATCTGTATATTAACAAATCTGATCGTCTCTACAATCAGAAATAAATCTACAACCAATCCTACTTGAAAAATCAAGCTAGCTAAAATAAATTTAAAATTCTTATAATTTATCGAAACAAAATAAATTATCAGTGATTAAATTTTTTGTTTATATACAAGAAAAATAAATGAAAGTATAAAAATGTGTTTTGATACAGTTAAAACAATTAATAATTTGCTCCTTATTTAAATTGAAATTTGTGTCTAGTAGAATACATTTCCGAAGTCTACCACTTAATTTACTTATATACACTTAACGTCGAGAACATGATCAAACATTTTGAAAATGTTGAATTTGCTGAAGTTAAAACAAAATTTATTCAGTACTAAAAATAAATTGGGTTCTTTCATTTAAAATTTGTTCAGTGTAACGACAAATTTTCAATACATGTATTTTATATGGGGCAACATTGAATCAAAATTGTTTTGATGATGATTATCAAGCGTATAAATATTATGCATAAATGCCTTCATCACGCAAGCTAATCACTTAATCACACCATGAAACAAAAAAGACGGTTATTCCTTAATTGACAGCTTAAACATATAGTGATATACTTGTAAATTTAATCGTATGTTTACTCTTTACTGAGAAAAGTAACAAATGTATTAAGTACCAAATATTACAATTTTAGTGCTACTGGAGATTCTAAAAAGACATGGAGAACACAATCAAAGAATGGCTAAGGTATGCCAAGGACAGGGATGAGGGAGGAAGAAACGGACAGAGAAGAAAAGAAGGGGGAGGAGGAGACTCGGGAAGAGGAAATGGAGACTTAGGAGAGGGATCAGATGGAAAGTGGCAGTGCCTAACTTTTTTCTGTGATATAGTGTGACATACCTGTAGTTCTACCCTTTTTGTGTCTGTTTGTCGGTTATAAACACGATGCAGATGCCAGAAACATTTTTTTGTGTAAGTAAACAAAATGACGGGATTCATTTTAGTATTATTTTAAGAACAGGAGGGCTTTGTTTATTTGTTAGACGTGCTTATTGATACCTGTAATTTACTGAATTGTTGTGCATAATTTACATCAGAGAGGGAGTATACAGTCATGTAACCCTACATGTATCGCTTGAAGTGAGCATCAACTTTTAATTCTTTATTAATGTTTTCTTCATGCACTGAGCAATAAAATTATAGTATGTTATAATTTAATTTTATATTTTGATTTCTTTTTCCTCAGTTTTTTAATTAATGTAGAGCTACTTACAATGCAATACTTGTTGATGGCAATTCTATGAGAATATTGAGAATATGTATTAAACTATTAATCTAGCATATATAGCATATATAGATAGTATTAAAGGGCTTTTACCATTAAACTGTACTACAAAACTAGTATGACCTTATTGTATAATATTTGTCAATTTTGAGGACAAATGGCCAACCAGTGAAGAGCAAATGAGTTGTCATGATGGAGAGCCAATAAGATACAAACCAACGTTGGCCCAAAAATGATGTTTTCCTAATATTGAAAGAATAAGTGGCCCAACAATGGCTCAATGATATCCGTTCGTTGGTCCAACAATAAGCCAACAAGTTGGTCTGATTAAGGGCCGATGAGCAAAATACCGATGGCCCAACATTAATTGCTTACAATGGCCCAACTGTACAAAAATGACGTTTGCCCAACATTGAAAAAATACATTGGCCCAACAGTGGCCCAATATTAACTGTTACATTGGCCCAACAGTAAGCCAATAAGTTGGTTTGATTAAGGGCCAATGAGCAAATTACCGTTGGCCCAACATTAGTTGCTTACAATGGCCCAATTGTACAAAAATGACGTTTGCCCAATATTGAAATAATACATTGGCCCAACAGTGGCCCAATATTAACTGTTACATTGGCCCAACAATAAGCCAACAAGTTGGTTTGATTAAGGGCCGATGAGCAAATTACCGATGGCCCAATGTTGAATTCAAACAGTGGCCCAACATAAGGAGCGTTGTTGGCCCAACAAAGGTCCAATAACATTATAATCATCCTCTGGAATATTTAATTCATTATTTTGTTCCCCTAAACTACCATTAAATTGTTGATGATCAGATCCAATATTGCTTTCAAACTCATTCCATATATTTGATTTTTCAGAAGCACTGTCTTTTTCTGTTGATCGACTTGGAAAATCATTTATTTCCTCTGATATGTTTGCTCCCCTCCTTTCCTCACTTGTAAACATATGAAATTGAGCAGTTGTATTTTGCAGCCAATCATCATAATCATTTATGTTGGTAGTAAGCCTAATTTTTCTCTTTGT